TTCTATAACCACGTTTTTTTTCTACAGCACCAAAAAGAGGGCTACAGAAAACAAAGGAGTTACAGCCAGTTTTTTCTAAATGCTTTTTAAAGACCAACCAATATATAAATTTGTTCGTATATACTAAAACAATAATAAATTTATTCAACCTATGAAGAAAAAGTGATTCGATATATATTTGATAGACAAACCAACAAAGCTTTTCTTTTGTATAACAACTTTTACAACAACGACGACAACAATAATTTCTTGATTTTATTACGATAGTAATATTTAAAAAGAAAAGAAACAAAACTCTATGTTCTTTTTTTAGCAAAAAAACTCTCTGTTCTTTTCCATAAATCAATGATCAAATCTCATTTTCAAAATGTTTCGATTCCGATGGAGAGATGTATAAACTTAACAACTATTAGAAGAGAGATAAAAATGTATAAACTCAACATATGTTTTATGCATAGCTTTGTTTCTCATCTTTATAAAAAAAAAAAAGCCATATAGCCACACATCAGAGCTTACTCATGGGATTTATGGAGTTCACAAGCTGTTGTAGCTGCGGAATCCACGAGCAGTTTAGAACCACAATTGCCTCTTTGACTTTGACTTTAAGTGCGTCAGATGATTCCAGCAAATGAAGGATTTCACTTTGGTCCAATGTAAGAAGCATTCCTGTGACTTCTCTTGTCCAGAGTGGCTCAAGTTTTTCCACCAATGGATACAGATATTCACCAAGCGTCTACACATGAGAGAAATAAAAGAGTAAGGCAGCAACAAACCTCTTTTTTTTTTTACTGCAATCGATATATATGTTTAAAAAATAACCATAATCCAAGGCAAAAGAAAAAAAAGTTTTACATTTCTTTGTTGTTCGAGAGTTGCATATGCTAGATTCTCCCAATACGCCCTTTGAGGGAGGCAGCAACCTGACCAACAGTTGGTGGAAGCACCATTGTTCACTTCTATACCAATAAAATCTGACGCGAGAGGCCAAAGCAACCATTTTTTTTTATCAATATACTATATATTTCTCCCAATTTTATCTTATTTTGTAAATATCTTTTCACTTT